TCGATCTTTAAAAATTCAAAGCTGTCGACGATCTATCACCTAATCTGTATATGAGTGAGGACTACGGAAAGAAGTTATAGCAAAAGTTTAAATCATAATAATTGATTAATTAACATAAAATACTCTAAAACTTTTACCCCCCCACAAAAAAGTAGATTTTCAAAATTTAAGTTCTAAATACTCAGAAAATTATTTACATTGATTAATAAGCCACGTATTATGTGAGTCACTTTTGTGTCTACCATTGATTACAAAAACAACTACCGATGATTTCATGTGCATTTTAAGTTTAATTAAAGAAAATCCAAAAATATGATTCAATCATAGTGAACCTTATAACGTAACACTGAATGTGCTCTTTCAAATGCAAATATATGCTTTCGTGAATTTTTATCATTAATTCTTATAAATTATTTAAGTTAAGCCTTTATTTTTCCAAATAAGGCACTTTTAGAAAAATCTAAAGGATAATTATAAGGCAATTTAGACGTCATGTTCCATTTATGAAAGAAAGCAGAAGCATTACGTCATTTGTTTTCAAAGTAGCAGTAGAAGTAGTCAAACTTTTTAAATTTTGTACCACATAAATAGAAGCCAAAGGTATATTACCACAAAAGCATTTTCCAATAAAAAGAAATGCATCCTAAATGGAATAACTATAATCAAAGAATATTATATTTTAAATTTATATCATTTACTTATACGTAAACGAAACTTTTACATTATAATAAAATATAATTATACACTACAATTCGTTAAGTTAAATTCCAAAAAAAGACCTACTTATTAAAAAAAAAATTCAATATTAAACTCAAAGCATAACCAGCATATGGCCAGTGTGGCCGCCACCACACAGCGAACTTAGGGAAGGCGCCAAAAACGCAAAAAAATTCTCCCTAAATAATAATGATTAAAACATAATGTTAAAATGTACACCAATTCACATTCATTTAAATCTTTTATGTAAAAACTGTAACAAAAATATTGCAATCTACCAGTAGTGGTACACAGTTACCATATATTGAGAAAATTTTTAAAACATATACAAATAAAGAGAGAAGGAAACTTCAAATATTAATAAAGTGTGCAAAAATAAATGCTCTTTTTCACCTTATTTGCTCATTTCGAAACGAAAACTTTAATACTTGCGATCTTTATTGATTGTAATTTGAATTACAGAAGAGCCGAACTTGCTAGAACCTACTTTAGTTTACATACAAAAATACTTGGATAATCGAATAAGCACTACCTAATCTCAAAGATCTCTGGGGACAACCATTTATTGGTGGCCATTATCAGAGTTGTATGTGACTGGGCACCACTCTGTTGAAAACTTGCATTCACATTAAGTATATGATGGTGCCATGATGCCAGAGCATCTCATGAACGTGACGGCATTATGTTAATGTGAACATATTCAGTAGTATACGAGATGTGGCACACACACACACACACAAAGAGACTAAGTGTGTAGCTTGAAAACAGTGGAGTTGGTAACAGCTGTTTTGGTGATGTCATGCCACACATCTCTTCTACCCATGAGGCTATTTTTGGCTTAATCGTCCACGCCAGTAGGGAGTACTGTGTCATTGAGTGAACAGATGCAACTGCATTCTGCCGGAAAAAAGTCTAATGTGAAAAACCAAACAGCAATTCAACATCAAGTTTCTTGTGAAACTAAAGAAATCAGCCACGGAGTAAACATTTCAAATGTTAACCGAGGCTTGTGGAGATGAAACTTTGTCTCACGCACATTTGTTTGAATGGCATAAGCGGTTTTCAGGAAGACAGGACAGTGTGGAAGATGATGAACATGCGGGGCACCCCCCTTGGGCGATCATCATGATTGAATGTGTTCCCAGTCGTCAGACTGTTAATCAATACTACTACATTGAAGTACTAAAAAGACTTCGTGAATAAATTAGGAAGAAAAAGGCCACAGTTGTGGAGTGATGGGGCATCCTCCTTATTCACCTGATTTGGCTCCATACAATTTTTTTTTTAATTTCCCAAAGTTAAATCTTACTTAAAGGGAGCCTATTTTACCTCAGTTGAAGGAGTTCAGGCAAAAATGGAGAATCTTCTGACGGGCCTACCAAAAATCTCTTTCCAGAACTGTTACCAGCAATGGCAGCACCGAATGCAGAAGTGTGTGAATGCTGAAGGGAACTACTTTGAAGGTGATAATGTCACGGAGAACTGATTCTGTAAATACAATGATTTATTAGAGCTGTCTCATTTTCTTTTGTGTGTCAGACCTTGAAGGTAAGCAGCTGCTGATAGTGATAATGCTCCAAAATGGCAGTAGATGATGCCTTCATCGGCTCCAGACTGGTGACACAGAAACAAGTCTCGTCGCCAACACTACACAATTACATCCTGCAATTCATGAAGTTCTGGTGTGACATCATTCTAAGCAGTGATATGACGGCATGCTGTTAAAGATAGCCTTTAAAACAGATGGCTGGACAACTAAACCCTCTGCAACCAATCAGCACAATACTATGCATATTGATATGGGAGCATCCAAAACTTCTTTTCGCATCTAAAAATGTTGCCATTAGTAAACTGAGCGTGCAGTATAGCGTAATATTTGATGTGACGCCCTCCGAGTTCCACTTTCACTACAATGTTGCACATTTCATTCCAACGATCACCAGCTCAGAATGTGACCGATGGATGTAGCATGTTTTTTTCCGCAGTAAAGCAGATGAACCAACCAGCAGTATGAAGACTGGCAATTATCTTATAAACCCATCGGTTTTTAGAACCTGGAAACATGACATCTCAAAGCAGTAACATTGCACTCTTGTTCTCCTATAGATACAGTAATAATAATAATAATAATAATAATCGGTTGATCTGGTGATCGTTGGAATGAAATGTGCAACATTGTGGTGAAAGTGGAACTCGGAGGACGTCACATCAAATATTACGCTATACTGCACGCTCAGTTTACTAATGGCAACATTTTTAGATGCGAAAAGAAGTTTTGGATGCTCCCATATCAATATGCATAGTATTGTGCTGATTGGTTGCAGAGGGTTTAGTTGTCCAGCCATCTGTTTTAAAGGCTATCTTTAAAACCCGCACTGGCATGACTAAGCTTTGAATGACGTATCGCAAGCATTTTCTCCCTTCTGGCGTATATGGCAAGCAGGTTCGGCTAGCATTGGAACTTCAGCTGTTCAAGTCTCTTCAATGCCATAGTGGACTGTCTCATCTTTTCTGATACTAAAAAAATACTAAACGACTGTACAAGTGTAGCCCGAACAAAAAGGTGGTAGACGATAATTCCCCACTGCCAGGGCCCGAAGATTGGGTCCCCTCCTTCCCAATAGACCTTTATGAGAGGAATGCAACACGTGATTAAGACTTGTAGAGACCCTAAGCTCTTAACGTTAATCCAGCTCTGGGAGTATGTACGGTATTTTCTCCCTCTTTATCGGGTCTCTTCTTTAGATAACTGGAAAGCATGTATGCCTAGCAGTTGGAAAATGTAGAATTCGAATCCCGGCGACAGCACTGCACATTTTTAATGCTTCAAAAAACCTCACGACTCTACAGGTGTATAAACCAGTACTGTGCAGTCAGTTTGAGTTGAAACATTTGTTGCAGTAATTTTACTAATTTCAAGTTGCTGAAGAGTGGCCTTCATATTTAAGTTTCTCTTGGCTGTCAGTGATAAAAATCGAAATTCCTTTTTGAAACTGTAGGCCTATGATACTATTCCAATTCTTCTCTTAAGCTTACTCTAGATACTAAATGGGACTTCACTGTAAGAATTATGTTAATTTTATTAACAGTTAAATTTTAAGTTAAAGTTCCGTTCCTGCCAAATTCTTAACTTCAACTTACTACTTCCGGCCAGAACGTACTTTTGGAATCTTGCTGAATATTTAATGAGAAAGAGCGGTATTTAAACCACGAAGTTACTTACTGAGTCAGAGAGAATCAGAGTTTCTGATTTACGTGTGTCTGTCTTTTTGGCCACTCTCTCTCTCAAAGCTGTTATTACGCTCGGCCCTACTCAGGCCCTTGCTAAGCTTCGTAGTCAAATAAGTTAAGGGGCCAACTCGATTTGAACCTTGATAGCTTCGGCTATACTTCCTTAGTTAATCTTAGTTTTAGTTTAATTCTTAATCTTTTAAGTTCAAGTCCAAGTGCGGGCTTTGCTTGTACACTCCTAGGCGGAGTTTTGTTAAATCTTATTGGAATAATAAAGGGGTAGTTACTATTCTATCTTGTTGTTTCTTGTCACCGAACTCAAGCGATTATTCGCTTATCAGTTCTTAGATTCTTCACTTCCAACATTAACTTAGAATTCCGAAGTGAGGAACTCTACATCACTAGTTTTAAAATTATGCTTTTGAAATGCTACTTCAATGGTTCCCACTACATTTGCTTCAGTCTGACCCATTTCTAAATGACTTATGCTACAGGCTACAGATTCAGATAAAACACCCGAGATATAATATTTCTAAATGGAAAATATTAAAAGCATTAACTGTTTTAAGTAGTGTGTTGTACAGAACAAAACGAAATTAAAAAAAGAAAATGTATTAGTATTACTATATGAAGAATTACTTGTAAAAAGGAAAATACATGCTATACACACACTTTTTTTTGGGGGGGGGGAGATTCCCTTAAAATCACAAAGCTAAGTCTGCTAAACACTGGCAATTTTTTTGCATGCTATTTCCAGCAATGGGACAGGCTGAGTGAATATACATATATCATTATAATAATTTATCCTAAATAATATAAATATATCCTTTTTTCTCTCAGATGTTCTTTTATATCCTTTTAATTAGATAACCCTCATATTCTTTGTCATAACTGAATGAACCAAATTGCCTACATAACAGCAATACAATGTAATTTATTTGATATTTACATACGTGCAAATTGATGTAATACTACTCATTGTTTACTGCATATTTCTGATAGCATATCACTGAACTGACAGATCAATAAGAGAAATACAAAACAAGCTTAAAAACAGTTATAAACCCATCAATAATTTATTGATGAACAATGTCAAAAACTGTTCCATAAAATCTCAAGTTTGACTGAAAACAATACAACTTTTTTTTTTTTTCTTTTCATGATGAGACAATATTCAACAGCAGGTATCACACACACATTATAGACACAATATTTAATATTTACAAGCAAGGATGAGTTTTGCTCTGAAAAAGCTGATTGAATTTATGACATAACAATAGCTGCCTTAAAAAATTCTTAGCGAAAAGCTATGATTTAATTGGCAAGAATACAGATTGGTTTAGAATAACTTCTCCATAAAATATGAACTTTCAAAGCTCAGTTTCATATTGGTCTTTTTAAAGACATTTTCAGCAATATGTTAGAGAAATGTCAAATTTTGAATACCAAACAGCAATTACTTAATTTCAGTCAGTGACCAAATGTTTTAAGCATGATATATTTAGTTAAAGCTTAATTCTGAATATAAAGAGATTAAAGCATTCCCTGAGCAGCTCTTAAAATAATTACCAGGCTACATAAAAATTCACCTTTCTCTTTGATTTGTTTCAATCCAGCATTCTACAAATTCAAATAATTGTTATAATATAATTAAGAAAAATCATATTTCAGTATCTGCAGTAAATAAATAGTTAATTAAATAATGCAATTGTTGTAGATAATAGATTAAGGCAGTCTGTTAGCATTCACATCAGTCAAAATGTCTTTAAAGTTTATATATATATATATATATAAAAAAAAAAAAAAATCTTATCATAATTTAGCTTAGGTTCTTTCTATAACAATTCTGATTTAAAGATAAGCAAGGAAAATTAGATTACAAAAGTATTTTACAGTTGGTTAAATTATTTTTACCTTTAAAAGTAATACTAAAAAAAACCATTATATTAGCACATTGTTTAGATCCAATAATAATAAAATAATAAAAAAACTGCATTTTTTGACAGAAATTTAAAACTAGCCTTATAAATAAATAAATAATAATAATAAAAAAGCAGACTTATGTGGTAAGTAGTACATCTTTTGAAGACTCCTGAACTTATGCTACAGGATATGTTTACTTGTTATAAACCAAAAAATGATTTAGGAGCCATTTTGAATGTGAGGTACCTATGATTACAAATTGCACTACACCCTAAGTCTGCCTCTGTCTATTTATAGCATTATAATTACATAGCTAAGCAGTCTGATTTATACCTTACTGAACTTAAGAGTACATTGTGTACACTCACACCATAACAGTTAACAAGCCTTCAAAACACCACAGAAAATTATTACAGAAGTATATACCTCTGATGTAAACCTTTCTTCATTAATCTCTCAATACAAAAAGAACAAAATGAATTTCATCTCATTAAATATCTAACATTAGTGTCTTGGTTCCTAGATATTTACATTATATCAGATATGAAATATGAATTTTGTATGTAATGCAAAAGTTACACTCAAGTACAGGATTAAATAAAATATTATTATGCCAAAAAAATCTGAAACATAGATCAATAAACAAAGACTGACAGTCTATACTTATGTATTTCATTTTTTTGAAACTACTCTAGAAAAAGTTAGCAGTCAATATAATGTATATAGGTTTGAGGGAGAACAGGAATGCAATATATTTTTTTAAAATTTTATATTTTACTTTTATATTTCTATTATTTTTGCAACTGAGACTAAAAATTAATTTCAGAAAAAAAAAAAAAAAAAAAAAAAAAAAAAAAAAGATTTACTAGATATTAGGCACTCAAATTAAGTGCATTCAAATAATATGAAATCCATTTCAGTATTAAACATTAACCTTTCACATACAATAAAAATATATGTAATTAATATCTTTGCTCCAAAGAAAAATAATGTTTTATAATACTAAGATGAATACCTGGAGATTATCTCTGTCAGGTAAGTATGCATGACTTAACAAAGGTCACAGTAGAATGTTTGTATAGTTTTTTTTTTTTTTTTAAATAAAATATTCGTATATCTACTGGCTGAACCAGCATGAACCAAACAGTAACTTTCTTTGAATCTTCATTGAACAATGAGCTAGCTATATTTAACAATAATATATTACAAACATTTTTTTTACTGCCATTATTAACTTTCAAGAAGATAAACTTTTTAATTATCAATTAAATTAAACAAAATTTAAAAAATAACAAATTTACATTTAATAGCACACATTATAAAATGGAAAAATGTGTGCAATATCAATTTTTTTACTTTAAAAAGTGGTTTCTATTTTTCCCTGCAAATAAGGATTTTGCACAAGTTAGTAAAACAAAGCTATTGATATTATTTCTTGGCATAAAAAAGAATTTTACAAAGAAATAATACAAATTTCTTTTGAAGACTAAAAAACATATACAGACGAATTACCCATCAATGGACACTTACTGATTGAGACTTTTTGTCTGTTACAGGGAAATTTTGCTTAAATGTGATATCTGATAACAAACTTTACTTATGAGTAGGAGATTTAAAACTAAAGAAGAATTCAGCACCATAAGCGTACGTAAAAATAATTATATACGTAATTACATAGGAGTGAATAAATTTGAAAAGGAATAAATAAGTAAAAAATATACACATCCAATGAAAAAATTTTATTTTTTTGGTGTTAATGAAGGAAATGTAACAAGACAAGAACAGATTGTTAAATGAATTTTTGAAAATGGTCCATCAGAATTGTTCATTTTTGCCGCTACAGTCTTTTCAAAAGAACTTTTAGCTTATTGATTGAAGAAAGTCCACTAGATTGACTAGAATTCAAAAACTTTTTAAGTGCTTCGCATTTCAAGGCATTTCTTTTATATAAATTTATTTATTTTTTACTTTCTTAATTTCTATGTTTTCTTCAACATTTTCTTATTTTTTTTCATAGGATCTCTCATTTTCAAACTGGATTCTTCATTAACTATGATGTATTCTTCAAAATTAATTTTTCTATTTAAAGTTTTCAATAAAAAAAAAGAGATAGCTTCTTTACTTGATTGATTATCTTATTACCATCATCATTGATCTCAGATAGATAATTTGAAAGAAAAATTCCACACTCTGGAACTTTTTTTATATATAGCTTGACCCAAAGTTTTAAGCAATTTCTCACATCCAACAAACTGTATTTAAAATGGGCACAGATTTTGTTGATTCATAGTTGCCTGCACAAAATGAAATTTTTAATAAAATATTGCACAACAGCAGTCTTTTGTACATAACTTGAATTATTCCTTGATTTAAAGACTGATACAATAATGCAATATCTGGTGGGATTGCTTTTCAACAAAGCCTATGCCCATCAGTGTCCCAGTGGCAAACATCACAGAATGTTGGAAGTTCAACCCGATTCTTCATTAACTATGATGTATTAACTATGATGATTATTCATTAACTTTTCACCTGGATTTACTGGCTCCATAGGAGTTTTCATGGCTTCTCCATATGCAATATGAATTATGAAACAATTTCTCTTAAAAAGACCTTCAGAAAGATATTTTTCATCTTAGCCCTCACAAACCTTCCATAATTTTAATAATAATAAAGCACAGTCAGGATGCAGCATTATTCAAAAGCAAGATCTTTTATTTATTCTTATGTAATTTTAATACAATTCAACTCAGTATTTCATTATAATTTCATACATTATTCATGCTAACTTATAAGCTTCCTATTATTGACCAGGTTTGTTAAAACTTATATTAATAGATCTAGTTTTTCTGCTTTCACTACAATGAAAATGTTTTGAAAACCATCAGTCACACTGCAGTAAAAGATCATTAAGCATTTTTCTTCTGAAGCCTCACTGCCAATGCACTTTTCATTTTTAAACACAATGCTTGTTTACTATAGTACTCTTAAAAACAGACTGATTCCAACTAGATTGTAATTATCTCTGAGATGAAAATTTGCATAAAAAGTTTCAAGTTTTTTTATTCATTCTGTTACCAACTGAGGATCCACAAATTAATCTTCACCACAAACAGATTTAAATCACGCATTATATCTAACTAAGAATTTTTCCAGTCAACAATTTGCTTTGTCTTTTCTGATAATCAGATAAATTATCTCCTTTTTATTGAAATAAATTCCACATGAAGAATATTTTTTTAATTGGGGGGGGGGATAAAACCAGTTAAAGACAATCATATTTAAACTTTGATTTTGTATTTGCTTATGAGTAATTCACCTATCTGGATCGTTGCAATTAAAAAGCACAAGGCTGGTCTTCATGGTTTTCCCCATGTTTTACGTGATTATGACCCAGTTTTTTTAGAAAGTCAGCCACAGTGGCATCCCTTCACATAGGTACCCTTGTTTGCTTTGCCACAGTCAAATAATTTAATCTAACCACTCTAAAGTTTTAGTAAATTGGCTTTGCTTATTCTATAGCATTGGTTATTTCAATTTTTCCTTTTAACTTTTTTTTTTTTTAATTTTTTTTTTATATTCATATGCCATGGTAAATAATAGACTAAGAATCAAACTACTTGCAAAAAAAGATATTCATATCAACATAAAGAAATTTAATGAAAGCAAAAGAATACATATTCTCAGTTGCACATAATCTATTTCAAGAATACTACTACATCACAACCTCAGAAATCTAACCTTATAGAAAATTTGTGAAATAATGCTAATGAATGGCATTCCTAAAGCAGCTTTTACAGCCCATGCTTCATACTTACTAAAATCTCTGTTGGGAATTCAACCTTGCCTATCACTCTCACTTGCTTTACAACCTACCAAATACCTAATGTTTCTCATAATTTCACCCTTTACACGTTTCTGTCTTCAAGCTAAGGCACTTGCTTGACGATTCTAATCATGATATTACGTCTCACTGCAAGGAAATATCTCTTTCTTGTTTCTGTAATATAACCTAAAAAACTCATACTGATATGACAGGAATGCCTTTATTTTTTTGATGCCTACTATATTATTAGTATTGCTAATAACAAACATTCATTCTTATGTTTAGCCTATGCAGTTAATTTTAATCATTCAACATTTGAGTCAAATTCCATACATTTTTTATCCTGGTCATCAAATTTGATTTCATAATTTAAGCATTCTAACCCTATTTTGCTCTCTGTGACATTCCCCCCCCCCCCCCCCCCGGTATAAGAAAATGCAATGTCGTGTTTTTGATATAATTTGCTTGACGTGAAATTTGTTAACATTGATAATAAAAAGGCAGCAATATTATAAGCAGAATTAGATAATTCCCAGAAATCTAGACATAGAAATAAATATCATAATGATAAAAATTAATAGGAAATTACTTAAATATTTTCATGAAGAAAAATTTAATAACTTGTACAAAACTGCTGACAGAGAAAAATATGCATATCAGTTATTGAAATACTTCAATGGTAAGCAATCATAATTATATAAACACTAAATAAGTGTAATTATGTCATTAAAAATATACCACCAAATTCTATTTAACATAATTTGATTTTCAGTATTATGTTCAATAAGGACTCAGAATTTGAATCTTAACTGTCTATTCTCATTACACATTTAGATATAAAATGATAAATATAAATTATTTTTGCCTAACAAATTTATGATGACTAACTTTTGTAAATGATATTAGAAAACAAACTTTTTTTTTACTGAATACTAACTTTATCTACAAATTGTATAACAAACTTTTTTTTACTGAACACTAACTTTATCTACAAATTGTATAACAAACTTTTTTTTACTGAATACTAACTTTATCTACAAATTGTATAAAACATTTACATTAAAAAATATGTTTAATAGCATAATTACAGAATTCATGCACAAATCTAATGTTCTGTTTTTACAAAATAATTATATGCAACAAGCATAGCTACTTCATTTACATATCTTATATTTTCAATAGCATGAATTGAAGCATACAACTGAAAAGTAAAACATTCAGGTTCAAAAACATATGAAATAGATTCACTGCTTCAAATCTATCTTTCGGATTTTCATTAGGACTAACTTAAATACAGTATTAAGTATTCAAAAACAAGATTCTTCACTATTCTTTTTGATTATATTTCAAGCTGCCCAGGGTTAAAATAATATAAACATACACAAATATTAAAAAGCTTTCATTCAGATATCAACTCTAATTTTTACATATAATTTTAATTACACTGGAACAGGACTGTACAATTTAAATTTTATATAGCCATATATCACAAACAATTATCGCTCAACTTACAATAATAAACATTCTTAACATATGATATAATAGCTCTTTTCAGTAATCAGATCATATATATATTCAAATCGAAAGATACCTTTCTTTGAAATAATCTTTTGCCACATTATTAAGGCACAATTTAGTTAGTAAGATCTGTGAAATAGATATTCCTCATAATTGAGCAAATGGCCCTCTCCCTGGAAAACTGGTCTAAATTGATTTTTGAACAATTTCAATAATACATTTATATATGTTATAAGAAATCTGATTATCTTAGTTATTATAATAATATCCAGAGATTCCATATAATTACCAAAACAAAAAGCTAAATACAATTTTCATTACCACATTTCTTTAATATTTATTAGATAATATACTAATAATAAGCCACAAATTTTCTTTCTTTTTTTTAAATTGACATTCAACAGCAAAATGAAATGTAGTGGTAATCAGATGCATTTATTTTTGTTGCTTCATTGTTGCAAGTTCATTTCAGTACAAATATCTCTTCTAAAACCTCATCCAGAAATGAATTTAATCAAAACAATGTGGAATTAATATAATATGGTTTAGAAACACATGGATTACAAAATAACACATTCAATATGTACAAGAATTTGTTTTCGTACGAAAAATGTGAGGTCATACAGTATGGTTATTATGATATTTTTAGGAAAATACTTAAACAGATTTTTAAATTGTATTTGAGCGTGTGCTGGTAGGTAAGACCACAGAATACTGGCAGTTCATTCTGGCTTAGGTTTGTAACAATCGAAACCTGCCTGCATAAAGGTTTTCTGATTTTCCTAACGTACAATGCGAATACATGCCAGCTTTCTTTAGAAAATCTTCCACAAAAGCGGTTTTCTCTAACAGAGATAGCTCTTGAGTGTTCTGCTTTGAATAAATAACTTATCCATAACCTAATTAAAATACACTCATCATACCTTGCTATTAATTTAATGAATCTCCTATTCATGGAACTATTACTTATAACATTGTAAACACTTCCTTTGGCACAATGAAAAAAAAATCAGATTCATACATATATTTACATTTATAATAAAATCAATGTGTTTGTTAATATATGTTTATATATACACATATATAACTGATTCTTTTATTCATTCCAATTGCTAGTTATCCACATGTCATCATTACTGCCATTTCATAGTTAATGACCAAACATTTTAAAATTTTCTTTGCATACATTCTTTTTCTTTGCATAATACAATTTTGGGGCTGTATTAAAAAGTGTAATTTTAAGAAAAATAACTTAGTTTTTCCACCTCTCCACATGTTTTATAGAAAAATAATTATTATAACTTGCTTAATTTCTGTTTGAAATTTACATTATTAAGCATTGGATATCAAATGAAGAAAGGTAAACAACTTAAATATATCATAATAGTCAAATCAACATCTTCATAAACCAAAAAATCTGATCTTTACATCAAATTATTCTGAGAATATCAATAGAAACTCTGAACTTTTTTCTAGTTTAGTCTTTTAAGTAAAATTCAGAATACACCTGTTACATGTTTAGAACATAAATACTGCAAATTTCTATAAATTACATAAAAAGTATACAATATTTACCTGAATATTTCTTCTCCTAATTTTTCCAACATATGATTTATGAACTTTTTATTTAAGGTAACAATGTAAAATGTATGCCCAAATAGGAAATTATTTTCTGTCAGTAAAATGAATATTATTAAAATCGTTAAGTGCTTTGAAATACATAACATGCTAATAATATTAGTGTGTCATTATGTGTATTTTTATGATGTGCTGTTTCAAACATTGCACACCACTTATTTTTCACCTCCTGGTTTTCAAGCAGTAAAATTAGCAGGAAAATGGAGAAAAATATGTGAGTAAATGTGGCAATCACGTGCAAAATTTCAATTATTTTAAATAATGCAACTTGTAAAAATTTTTTATTTTTTTAAACTCATTCAATTAATCTTGTCCAGTTCCTAACCGATTAAAATTAGGAACTTCTAACATTGGTCCATATTAATTGTGGAATAATTTGTTTTTCCATTCAAAATGAGAAGAAAATAAAAATAATTCATGGAAATCATGAATATGACTACATTTCTAGTTAGAAAATTGACATACTTAAGCCACTGATGAAAATGATATCACTTTCCACTCTTTGTGACTATATTAATTATCACATTTACCAACAAATGATGGAAGTTCTTTAAAATGATCAATGATTTTGATGAATTTTTATAAAAATTATCAAATTTTTGATAATTATAATCTCTGGTAATTATTCAGAACTACCATATCATCAAATTTATTATAGCATACATATTTACACAGAATTTTAGCAGATAAAAGAGGGATTAATTGTTAACTATGAACCTAATCCCTACAGGGGGAAGGAAAAAATATATTATGATAAGGTTTGCAACAATCAAATTGGATTTAACTGTCTTCATATCAGAAAACTGACATATGTAACAAAGACTTATAAGACAATAATTAATTACACATTCATCACAATGAAAATATAAATACTGCTAAAATGCAGGATGATAATTTTTAAAAGGCTGCAATTAAAATTCTATTATAAAAATCACCAGGAAATCTTTGACTGCTACAACATCTTGCTTTTATACAAGGAGGAGTCCAACACATGAGAAAACTTACAAAGCTTTATCCAATTAGTTATGTTGTAGAAACATATCAATATACTCAAATCAAACACTAAACAGATGATAGAAAAACAATTTAATGGATTTATAAAGCTTTGTTTACATGCACATAATACTGATCGATCTGTGAAACAGCAAATCATTTAGTTTATGCAACTGCCAAAGGAAATACTGTGGCCTGTCATACATCCAGTACAGAGTTTAAGGATTGATTGCTAATATTACACTGAGCTACAAGATTCTAACTTAATCCTTTTTCTCTCAGGAAACACAAAATATTAAACAGTGATATGCTTATTTAGTCTATTAGCTGCATGACTATTTTGCATATATAAGGTTAAGAATATTATTAAAAAGCTCCTTTTTCAAGTTGTTTTCAGCAAATTTTATTTTGGAAGGGAGATGTGTTTGATTTTTCCTATTTTATTTATTGCCAAGAAAGTAGTTAATTAGTTATTAATTCTTAACAAAATATTTATATTAGTAGCTAATTGTTTTTAAATTATGTAAGGCAATATTTTAAAACAATAAAAAACAATGAATGATTTTTATGTGAAATCAATTCCATCCACATGATTTCTGGCTTGATGAGCTTTCTGCACTGAATTTATTAAACAGGGTTTAATAAAGTTTTTATTTATCTTACGTAAATATTCTTAGCATTTTCTATGAATAAATTTGAATTATAATTAAAAACATCATGTGATGAAAATTTAAATAATGGTAAAAATTTCCAATTATTAAAATTACTGAAAATTCAGATTCTGTTATGTCTTAAACACATCCAAACAATTTTGACAAACATCCTAAAATCTTTCTGGGAAAAAAAAAAAAAAAAAAAAAAAAAAAAAAAAAAAAAATGCTTTTCAGAAATGCTCATGAATATTAAGAAGATTTACATAAATGTAATTAATATGTTTAAGTTTTACATTCAGTTGAAGCATTATGAATGCATAGTATTCTCATATGTTATGAGTTATGGAATATAACACTTTAAAAATGTTATATTTCGTATTAGGCATTCCCATAGGCTCACAGGCAGAACTGTGTTGATGATGTGAAATATAGTAGTTTGCTTAGGTTCTGAGAGCTGACTGCATGACATTCCCATTCCCATGTATAATATAAATACATGGCAGTTTTCCTTACAAAGTCATCCATTTACACAAGCAAATACTCCTAATGCACTTTTCTCTAACTCTGTAAGTACAAAAGCTTTTTGGATATATTTATGAAGAACTGTATATAAACAGCTTGTATTAGCTGAATTTATATAATTAATTCTTTATTTTGTTCTTATAAATTTCCATTCAGTAAGATGATTTTTACATCAATAAAGAAAGTAAGAAAAAAAAAATTATTTAAATTATAATCTAATATATATATATATATACCAAGCAACAAATAAAATGTCATGACAGGATAAAAACAGTCATGCCACTCACGGGGTTAATCAAATAACCGATTCTATTACATATTATATATATATTTTAAAATATTGACACCTGGCAATATTTTAAAGAATACACAAGAGAAATACATATAAATTTTCCACACTTTTTTATCATTATTAAATTTGAAAATATACTTTAAATAAAAAATTTGTATACATATGTTATAGCTTCCCTTCCCAGTTAGGAAGAAAGGATATAATTATTAACTTTCTTAATAACTTAGTAATTATTTTATGACTATGTATTTGATAAATACTTGCATTTTAAGATGAATACGTCATATTAAAAATATAGGTGATATTCATATAAAATGCTCGGAATTAATAGGAATAGAAATTCTGTAAACATTTCTATACCTGATTCTGACATGAAAAATCTTCTATTAGAATTTACTAAAGCAGAATAATACTTTTGCTTTACAAAGAGAAAAACTCCCTTTAAAAATTTTATATACACAATATTTGTCACTATGAAAATTTATTTTTCTGTCAGCCAAATACTTCTTTTAGAGTCACGTGATATACACTATTAATTATGTGCATGTAAACATACCTTAAAAAGATATTTCTGAGAAGTTAACAAAACTATATTACAAATGATGGATTGCTCATAAGTGAATTGGGGCCATTTGAGTAATGGCCACTGACAGATAATATAACAGTTACTGTGCATCTTTGGCAGAGAGATTATAAATCTCATCATTTTAAATTTAAATTCAGGCAGTGAGTACCCATGTAGGATTTACTTATTTTACAACATGTACGCATGTTTAATAAAAAACCTACACAGGTTCGTGTTTACCTCCACAGTAACCACAACTGACTCCACAGCGATGACAGGCACGAAGAGGCAGGTAGCACCAGAGGCAGGGAACAAATATAGAGAGCAAGGCAAGACCTGTCCAGCGCCTGCGGCAGTGATCATCGGAAGTATCGCATGAACATGGGTGGTGGTGGAAATCTCCTTCTGCATCTGACATGCAATGATAAAGCATGCATTGGGTGCAGGAAAAGCAAGTTGCATGGTCAATGAAGGACAACGTCCTATCTGGTCCATACTCACAGCTGCCAGGAGTATTCTCTTCCTCAACATACGTATCAAGACAATGACGACATTGCAATCGACCTGGAGGGGACTGACGACGGGTTTCTTTCTGACTACTCTTTTTCTTGCTTGGAAGAAGAGGAGGCTCACTGCTTACAGTTGAGACTTGTTTCTTTATGCTACCAGTATAGTCCTGCTTTCCAGATTTAAGTGTTTCTATAGAGGGATAGCAATAATCATGCTCAGCACGACTTTGTCTATCCCTGGAAAACTGTACATAAGAGTAAGGTTCTCCTAAAGTTGCAAGTTCAATTTTTTCATGCTCATTAGAATGAGAGTTATCTTTAATACGTGTCCTATCTTTTATCCAGATATCTTCAGCTTGAACTTTTTGTAAATCTCCAGCTCCTGCACTTACTGATGAAGTAAGGCCGCTGGTGCCACTGCCATTGCTGCTGACACCCGGCATCGTGCGTGAAGGTTTCATGAAATGTATGCGATGAAGATGATGCTGATTAGAATGCGGATGAGTATAAGGTGATGAAGTGACTGAAAATGTATCACCCGGGATGCTGGACGTGGCAGAAGTAGGCCTGCATGCACTTATGCCATTTGCACTTTCACTGCTGGATCCTGAGGATGATCGGGATTCCACAGGCAGTTCTAATGTCTAGAAGCATTAAAAAAAAAAAAAAAAAAAAAAAAAAAATGACAATTTGAATGAAGGTACATAATCATGAATATAAAAGAAACAGAATTTTTTCTTATTTCATATTCCAACATATAATTAAAAAAGATTCAACAATATATTGATGCTAGTTTCATACACATACCATACTTTCCCTCCCCCCTCATAAAAATCCTTTTTTTAAAAAATATCCTTAGGACCTTGCATCATTTATTAAAATACATTAACCCTTTGCAGCAAGGTGTGCCCGCAAAATTGAAAAAGGATTTATACGCACAGAAAAATTGATTGAAAAATGATTTATAGGTTACTTTGAACCTTCTTTATTTATAGTAGATGGCAGCTCAACACAAAACAGACCATATATTTTAGCCATGTTTAGTTTTTTTAGACCCTCATTTTTCAGAGAAATATTCCAGATTTTTTTTAGGTTGTAAAAAGAATGTTTGAAAAGAAATTCCTATGTTATTTTTTGGCTGTATGCTAATCTCCTTATTCTATATTAGTTTTAAATTTTTACCTTGAAATCTTGCATGATAATCGAGCGGCAGCCGAGGTATGCCTCATACCGGGCACACCGATCACCTCTGTTAGGGCTTCCGACTAAGTTATACCTATACCGGGCACACGAAGACTCTAGGGCATCGAGACTGTATTCTTTGTTTCTCTGCATCTCACCAGTCAGTCCATTGACAACAGAAAGGTGGGTCCACATCTGTGTTTCATTTCCTGTTTTTCTCTTTCTTCTTCTCTCTCTCTCTCTCTCTTTTTTTTTTTTTTTTTTTTTTTCTTTGAGGGAACATTTGGTTATCAACTAAAAAATTGTTGGGGTGATTTTCTGAAGGTCAAGGGTTATTTTATCAGTTAGCTATTTGGTTTTTCACTAGAGCAGTTCTCTTTTTCTCTTTCGCTTTTGTTCAAAGTTTCGCTAACGCTACGTTTAATAGTTTTGAGTTGTAGACATTTATTTAATTTTATTTTATAGTTTATAATTTCTAATTGTAAATATACTATGAGTTTATTTTTTCAGATTTTTAATTATTTTCCAATCAGATCGGAGAGGGTTGATCATTTCTGAAGAACTGAAAGTGCTACACAAATTGCTTTCAGTTAGTGAATCTGATACGGAACCCGGTACATGTGCAAAACATGCAATATTGGGTTGTGCTTTTTCAAAGGTGGTGTCACTTTCTATGAAAAATAGCACCATGGGAAAAAAAAAAAAAGACTACAATGTAAATATGAAATGTAAATATTATATACCCAAGTTACTTTTTTTCCCCATTCATACGCATGTAATCATCATATAACCAAAAAAGAGCTTTTTAGGGGGGGGGTGTAGAGCAGCAGGTCTTCCCCTGGCACACCCTGGGTAACTCTAAATCTGCTATGATATTCAGAAACTAGTGTTTTTTAATCGTAGGCAAAATCTCTTACTCTTTTGCATGCTTCCCAGCAATGCTCGCTTCAGCACTCTTTTCGAAGCTCTATTCAATCAGTGTGCCCACTTCAGGCACACCCACAGAATTAAAAAGATAAGTGCTATCTTTACAAAATTTTCCTTGCGTACTCTCTAGGCCTAATTAGACTGCATACCTTTTCTTTTTTATTGAAATTCCAACTTTAAAAGGTAGCGTGTCGGAAAGGGTTAAAAGCAGAATTTTCCCATAAAACCATGATTAATTTGAGAAATTTTTTTCTTAAATTAAAATTTGTCAAATGTTAAAATTAATGAATTTAAATCTGAAAAAGAATGAACGAAGAGATATTTATTACATTAATTATTTCAAAGACTTCTGCATTTGGTATAAATGTTACTTGCAATGAGAAGATGTTTTGTGGTGCCTGTATTGTTTACCAGGTCGCAATAGATGGGGGAATACCTGTCCCCAGTAGAAATGTTTTTGAAAAATTATAATTTAAAATAATGTTTAATTCACTTAATTTCATATTTTAAATAAGCTCTAGATGGTGAACAAGGAGTGACAGCAGTTCTGCACGTGGGTCAACCAATGAAATATTCTTGAGCAAGTTGTTAATTCTAGAACCAGTAAAGAATTTAAATAAAATTAAAGTTTTATGTAGTTTATATTCCCTCTCCAATGGTGGGCCCAAATTGTCCACAGACGTTGGCCAGTACTAAGGCCAGAAGCGGTAGTCTCTTTATCATGGAGGCACCTAATAGGTGGGCCATCTTTGTCTTCTATGAGGGAAAAACAAATAGAACCATGCCTTCTCCAGGATTCCAACCTCGGCCCTTTGGTATCGCAGTCGGCTTCCCAAACCACTACACTGTCTGGATGGCACTTAGGTTATATAATGAAATCAAAATTGCAGTTCAGAATTTGGAAGCTCAAAGTGTTACAGAAGGTTCATTTGGTCAGCCATTAATACTTGTGTTGTTAATACATTACTATTCCAGAAAAGTTTGTTCTGGAATTTAATCAAAAGGGGAAGGAAACCCAAAGAGATCAATGCATCAAATTTGTTGGACTTCATAAAACAAGAAACTAAATGTTGTGAAGTATCAAGTTTATTGATGCTAGAGAAAATAAATACATTGCCTTCACATTTTAAACATGCTAAGTTTGATTATAAAAATTTTTATAGAAATGTACACAGCGCAAAAAAAGGGGGGCAACAGTTCTACATTTCCTGTTCTAGTGGGTCGATTGATGAAATTCAATTTGTGTTTTTCATGTCTCGAAAGTGCGACTTATGATATGTATTAGATTTATATATAGCATTGTTCTACTATAAGTATTTTGACACAAAATCAGATTTTTTCTGAAATGAAATGCCAATTTTTTTTCATATTTCCAACTTTTCCTCGTTTGGAGTTGATGGCTGCTTTAGTAGCCGCCAAATTGTCTAAGTATTTGACAAGTTGTTTCATGAATTTTGCAATCAAACATTTCTTTCAACTGGTAGCCAAATAACTATCTACTGGACAAAGGGGCCAGAAATGGAAGCCCTTTGTGTCAAACAGGATTTCTGAGATTCAGTCACTTATGGATGCTGAATGGTGGTTTCACTGCAGTGAGAAAGGAAACCCTGCTGATGTTTTATCTCGTGGAGAAAGTGGAATTTTTTTAAACTGGTGAAGCAAACATTTAATTGTGATAAGAACAACCAAACAATTATAAAATTTTTATTTCTTACTTTTTAGCAAAGTATAATGAAAACTTACTTGCAGAATAAGTAAAATACAGTTTTTGCTACATTTGATTTTAACTGCATGGGGACATTAACTACAAAATTCATCCCTATTTGTTTTTTTAACATCAATGATTTTAAAGATACAGCAAAAAGTTATACAAAATTATACAAAGAGCTACTTAACTGACCATGAAAACATCATCATCTCCCAGATCATCACTAATATGAGTATTATGTCCATATCCAATACCTGAAGAATAAATTACATATTTAAAGAAAGTTCTTGTATCAACTTGCATTAATGCTGAATAATATGTTCTGAATACATGAATATATTAAAATAAAACATATTTAACAAACTGAAAAGGCAAAAGAGATTTATTTTACCACAATTTTAAATGATGTTTTAAAAGCGAAAGAAGGAAGCCATGTGTACTTTATGCTAGATTTTCTAAACTGAAGATGTGTAACGTTATAAAAACAGTGCCATGTCTGTGTGATAGGAATGTAATTCTGTAAAACTGCGTGTACTTTATGCTAGATTTTCTAAACTGAAGATACGTAACGTTATAAAAACAGTGCCATGTCTGTGTGATAGGAATGTAATTCTGTAAAACTACAGTACAACTTTAAATATCGTTCTCAATGTGGAGAACTTAGCTAGTCAGTGCTTAAGTACTTACAAGGTACGAATTCTCCATAAAGTTATCTACAAATTTTGCTCTAGGATTTTAAGAATGAATTTAGGCAACAAATAATAAACAGTAGCTATTTCTATTAATAGTTCTGAATCAGGTTAAAAAAGCATTTATCATACTATTTGTAACTGATATCTTTTTCAGTTTTGGTGAAAATTTTTAGTAAGAGTTAAAAATGAATGAACTTTTTTTTTTTTACTGAAGAACAGCAAATAAGGTCAAAATAACATATAGAAATTGTCAAATAAAAATGAAAAGAGGTCAAGTTAAGGGGTTAAGGCATTAAGTCATGCAACAGCTTGGATCAAACTCAACCACACACAAAAGAAGTCACTTTCAAATTTTATGAATGGATGGATTAATAATTTTAGCAAAACTGGAATCTAGATAACCTTGCTTTTGTGAGCCAAAAAATGTTTTTCATTTATTACGAGCTTTATGTACACATACATATATTTATTTATTACATGCTCTGCCATTTGGCACTACACAGAAAGGGAGACATTCCCCTGGAGGTCTTTTCAAGGTAAACTGACTGGTATCAACATTACACATGGGAAAAACTACGAAAATGTCCATGCAGCCAGCCTGTTCACCGGAGCTCAACCCTGTCCTGAACTACCAGTGTTCAGTGGCTTTTACTGCCTGGTCACTGATGGATCTGGCTTTATATTTTGCAGAATATTCCTGCTCTAGAAGGTGCTAAATTTTTTAAACTATTCTTATCAGCTAAGTTTTTTTTTATCCTTTTTTGAACATTTTAAAACTATGAAAACTAGTAAACGGCAGTGGGCTCAAACTGCATGTGGCTTAAATGCATGATATAAAAAGCAGTTGAGGAATCAGATTTTTTTTTTAACAAAATGCAATAACATTAAAAAAAAAAAGGCAGCTAAATTTTGAATTTCACTTATTAAATATTTATCAAAACATACATAAAGAATAATAACAATAATAATGCAAAGGGGAAAAAACCAAATTTATATTTGTTTTCTATCTGAATTCTAAAGTTCCTATAAGAAATTTCTGTTGGTTTGTAGTTCAAACATATTCACTGCTAATTATTAAATTTTCAGAATGATATTTATTTCAAATAATTGTAATATACTTAACTTACCACTAAATAATGTAAATTAAAAATAAATATGAAAAGTTTCCAAGTTTTCAGATAAAACAGGTCAGTATTATCACCTATTGCCGTAACTTATATATTTATTCAAAACTGAATATTCAAAAGGATATAAAATAGTGAACGACTGAGTACCTATTTTATTGTACATACAGGTGTATAAAGGTAAAACTTTCGGCACCTGAAAAAAAAGGGGGGGGGGAATCTGGATGCTTTTTTAAAGGGATAAAAAGTTTACCAGTGGACTAAAGTATAATCCAAAAGTGAGGATGATGTCAGTAATTTTTAATGAATGACTTTTGAGATAGAATACTGAAGTGAAGAATGATATCCTTTTCACTGACTACTGTGCATCATTTAACATAAATGTGTGTGTGTGTGTAAGCACATTAAAGCTAAAAATACATTAATAAAATGTACTAATAGTAAAATATTGTTACGGATTTGGTATTTAAATAGCTAATGTTAGTTGAATTATAAATTAAATTGTTTTTATTCCCCATGAAGTGCAGCGTGTGACGAATATTAAAGGAAAGCTAAGCCGGAAATTTAAAAATACAAGAGCATGTGCATTTAAATTTAACATTTAATAAATAAATATCTCTTTTTGATTTCGAGAAAGTTCCAGAAAAATCTTGCGCACGATGTAAAAATCTTATAAAAAGGAGGAAAACCTCTCAAGTCGATCATTTTAGCTAGTTTGTTTAGAAAACTGCTCTTGTTGACTGTAGCGAATTCGCGGATTAGCGTTCTTTAGCTGTTTTGAATTAAGTTCTCTTGAACGTTTGAGTAGTTAAAAGATAACCACTGTGAGATATTGTAATATTGCTCAAATATCTGAGAAAATTTAAGCATTTTGGTTTAATTTTTTTTATAATAATAAATTTTCTTCATTTTTCATCGGACTTGTGCATTCATTTCATAACAAACCCGTACGCACGCAACAATTTTTGGTGTCAGAAGTGGGATTTGAATGCCAATAACAAGAGCGATGGAAGAACAGTTAAGGCAGTTAATATCAGCCTTGCCCTCGTTTAAGGAAGAAATGAAAGCAGGACAAGAAAAGATTGAAGCAAGACTAGAAGAGATTAAAAGAGAAATTACCTGCATAATAGAAAATAAATTTAAGGCTATGGAAGGCAGAGTAGACGTAGTCGAAACTAAAGTTGGACAAATTGAAGAAAAAGTTTCTCCTGTGAAAGAGCAAATAGAAGACAGAGTTTCGGCCGTGGAACAACAAATAGGTTACAGAGTTGATTCTGCCAAAGAAGAAATAGAAGGAAGAGTTTGTTCCGTTCAAAAACAAATCGAACAACAAATTGATGAGAGAGTTTCTGCAGTTACCAAAGAAATGGGTACTTTAAAGAAATTCGTAGCGACGGCAGGAAGCAATAGTGATGGTTTTAAATTCTTACCGATGCCTACTCGTCCCTCTCTAAAGTTATTCACACATGATGGGAAAGACATCCTGGCAAGTGTATAAGACCCAATTTTCAATAGTGGTGGAAGCGAACGGATGGGATTCTCAGACTAAGGCCTGTCATCTCGCCGCTTCTCTGAGAGCAGACGCAGCGGACATCCTGCAGACTCTTCCCGAAAACCAGAGATTAGACTTTGAAGCTTTGTTTGGTGCACTTGAGTTACGATTTGGGGAAAAGTGTTTGAAAGACTACAGTAGGCTTCAATTAAAATCCCGCCAACAGAAACCCATGGAAACACTCAAGGAACTCGCCACAGATGTTGAAAGGCTGTCCCACCTTGCCTTTGCTGTCCCTGCAGTATTTTATCAATGGCATCCGGGATCCCGAAATACAGAAGGCTCTACGAATGGCAGATGTTAAAAATTTAAAAAGTGCTCTAGTGTATGCCATGAAGTTTGAGGCAGCTCAACAGGCAACTCGTAGAGATTGCTACCCAGTCAGAACTGTGCGAGTCCATGAGCCAGTGGATCAACTGATGGCTCATTTAGATGATTTAGCTAGAGAAGTTAATGCTTTGATACGGAGTAGGAGTGAGAACAAAGTGGCTCTAAGGTGTTGAAAATGTGGTATTGAAGGGCATACACGACGGCATTGCAGAACACCCCAGGACACGGATAATAAAACGGATGATTTGACAAGACCAGTGAATGCCTTGAGACGGAATATTAGTGAGAAGAAACCGACCCTAAAGTGCTGGAACTGCGATGTTGAAGGCCACATACGAAGGAAATGCAGAACACCCCAGAGCACGGAAAATAAGAGAGGCCGGTTAAATAGACAATTAAATGCCATGGGACAGAAAAGGATTGACAAGAAACCAAAGTGCTGGAACTGTGGAACTGAAGGCCCCGTATAAAAGAATTGCAGAACACCCCAGGGTACGGAAATTGAGACCATTTCTCAGCAACGACGCAGGAAACAAATTAATGACCATATCAAGGAACGGAGGTTGCCAGATAATGAAAAACCTTGTTTTAAAGCACTCAAGATTTCTAGAGTGAGTGGTAACAGTAACAGACTGTCATCAATGGGCATTTCGATGGAATTCCTTGCAATATGATCATTGACACAGGAATTAATGTTACCATCATTAGGAAAGATTTAGCTGAACAGTTTAAAGATAAACTTATTTGGATGTCATCCTGTGTTACCCTTCAGACTATGTCTGGTGACAAGATCGAGACAGCTGGGAAGTTAAATGTGAACATGTTTGGAAGTGCCGCCTACCATCACATGGCATATGTGGCGGATATTACACATCCATGCATACTCGGACTGGACTTTTTAAGGAAATACAATTTTCCCTTAGACTTCAAAAACAGCAAACTGCTTTCAGCATCTGAAGACGTGACTATCTATGCTCAGAAGGGATCCTCACCTAGAAATGCCGATGCCTTGGCCGAAAGACCCAGCTCGGGAAGCTGCCGAAATCATACTAGGGTCGAAAAGAAACACAAGACTACCAGCTATTCTCCATCCCAGATGCTCTTCGGTCGAGACCTTCGTCTGCCTTGTGACCGCCTGTTTGGTCGCCCTACGGTTGCACCTTCATCGCCTGAGGAATATATTCAAGATCTCCAGGCTCTGTTTGAAGTGATGCACAACTTTGCAAGAGAGCGAGTCAATTTGGCGACGGAGAAGATGAAGAACCGATACAACACAAGGGCTACTGAACATCAATTCCATGAAGGAGACAAGGTGTGGGTGTGGAATCCGACTCGACGGAAAGGACTCTGTCCAAAATTACAGTCACCTTGGGATGGTCCATACACAGTCCTAAACAGGCTGAATGACGTCGTGCTTCGGATCCGTAAGTCTTCGAACTCTAAACCTAAAGTCGTTCATTACAACAGGTTAGCTCATTACTATGGCCATAGTACGTAGTGTAAATAGTGTAAGACCATGGTCCTTTTTGTTTCTAAATGTGTATTTAGTATTTGAT